CGTTTTTTTTTGCTTCGTCTTGTGTTAGCCATGGCAAGCTATTCAAAACAATGCCTAGCGCGGGCTTTTGAAGTTCTTCACGTGTCTCTTCGGCACTATCCGTATCACTGTCGCTTCCACGGGTTATTTCCTCGCCAAGGTTACTTTTTACCATTCCGGATCCTGACCGCATGCACACACACTCATCGTTCGAATGCGGTGTCCATTGAGCGACCTTAAATTTGCTGGCCATTCGAGTTTCGCCATTTTTGACGCGGTATAAAAACCGTCTACACGAACTGCAGATGAAAGCGGGGAATACTTCTTTGCTTTCGGAGTTAATGTCCAAGTTCCAACACTCGTCAAATTCTTTGGTAAACAAAGTCTTACAGGCCTTCTTTCGATCCTTTCTTCTCTTGTTACTGGAATGACTCCCTCCAAGAGATACGCTACAAAGACGACACCGGTTGTTCAGGTACCGCTTATGACCCTCCATCACCTACATATACACGCAGCTTCGATCAAAGCGCTTGCACTCAGCCATTTCGTCTTGCACCCAAGCAAACTTGACATCAAATCAGAGCCAAACTATTATAGAACAGATTCTGGTAGGAAGAAATATTACCCCAGTAGGGGAAGGTACTAAAATTTCCGTTGTTTTGGAGTAAACTTCGACGAAACAACACAGTAGAAAGTCTAAAAAGCAGTATAAATATTCGAATTCTCAGTCAAGACATACGTTCTACACATCAATGGCGTCGTCATTTGCATAGCAATGCTTTACTGCGCAAAGAATTATGGGGAGGGACCGTTTTTACTCAAAAAGGATCCAAATAGAATAGGGCTCCAAAGAGGCCTTTGGCCGCCATCTTGTGACGTCATACATGTCACGAGAAATGGTTATGAACCGGACTGGTAAACGTTATCAAAAGTATTGACGTCGGACAAATTCTAGCCGATTAAATTAAGAATCTCACATGAATCTTTTGAATGACCAAATTTCCCCTCTAGCCGGGTTAGAGTGGGGTGTATTGCTTTGAATCAAAGATTTCGTATTGTCAACCACAGTATTACCGTCGTCTTGACTCAAAACACAAATGTACATAATACAAAACAAATGACGTCGACTTTGGGGAAATGGGATGCAATTTTGATTAAGCAATATGTAAGTCAAATATAGACAAACAAACTTTTTACAAAATCTATAGTTTTTCTTGATTTAGTTTTGGTTTGTTGTCAGCTTTGTCCATATTGATTTGTTAACAGCTCGCGTACATATCCGGCTTTTCGTGATAAAACCGACAACAACAAAAATTATTTACCGCTGTTTACTCATCATCAAAATTGTTATTTATCCAATCTATTCTGCAATATTTTAGTCTTCAAACATATTTTTCACAAGTACAAATTTATTGATATTGTAACAATTTATTTTTGGCTGACATCTTGAAAGGTCATTATGACAGGACGTCAGTGGTGGTAGCCTTTAATCTAACGCATGCCCGTGAGAGGCTTCCTTTATGAAGTATCTGCTAGAAGGGAAAGTAATTTATTGATTTACTTACAGGTTCAGGCGGCTACTCGTACGCCTCCAATGCTTTCCTGTTCACACTGTACAATACATATGGCTACTATCCTATCAAGTTACCTCAAGTACAATATCAACAGTATGCTATATATAGACACAGTGGCAATGGCCCTACATTCGGTTGGGGACATGACATTTACATATCTAACCATGCATCAAGTAACGGTAATAGCTATCTTCGTGGGTACACATACAACGCCCCGCCTGGCTGCAGCTACTATAGTTTTTGCTCGTTCTACACAGGCAACGGATACTTTACACCGAATGACGTCGAGGTTTTCTATGAAACAAGCAACTAGTAATGAAAGTTTTTAAACTTTAAAAGGCCAAAAAAACCTTATGTCGTCGTATTCGTTGCATTCTCTTAAACGTGGAGCCGTAAACTTTCAGTAGAGACAAAATGAAATATTCCAGTTTGTACTGGCGCATTTTGTTCACGTATAGCTACGTATTCGCTTTAAATAAATCTGTAAATGATATCAGTAATAGGTGTATTACAGTAATAAAGTAGTTATTCGAAATGAAAAATGCGAAATGAATGCCCTGTTATGCATGAATACAGGTCTGGTAATTTGTAATAGTGTTAATGACATGATTTGTGAAGCTATTTTAAACAATAAACATTTTATTTTACCTCTTTTTTGTAACGATTTTTTGTTAGACTTGTGATGTAAATTATCGGGAGCACTGTAGCCTCCTTTAGAAGCCGCCTCTCTGTCTTGTCACACTGTAAAAACAACAAATTTTGTTAGTTTACTAATGACCACATTAAAAGAGAATCTATTACCGGGTAAACCCGTAAAGGTTGAAATTACTGGTGTTAATATTCCTATTTTAATGTGCCTCCGCATTAAATAAATAAATGAGAAAAACGCACAAATAAAACAGGTTTCATATGAAATAATGGCTTAAAACATTGCCAAACTAACTAAACCAAAATCAAAAAAACTAAAAAAAGGAAATAAAGAAAGGAATTTCGCGTTCAATTTCATGGCAATTTCCCCTAAAGGCAGTAAATGTTCTTACGGCCTTTAACGTGCAAACTATTGTCCTTCACTGGGACTAGTTGACCTTATATTGTACTAACATTCTTAAAGACGGAAGTCTAACGTGTATGTTCCGTACTGTGTGATTTACAGGCAATTGCGACATTCCGTTAAAATGGATTCTTCAATTGGATAAATCAAATATTGTCTTAAACTTTTTAAAGTTTTAAAAAGTTTCAAGATTGTGCGAAACCGTATTTTCATCTGTAACAAAGGAACTATTATTTTCAAATAATCTCTCAACTGTAGACAGATTTTTATCTTAAAACTATGCTT